TGCCCTCAATTCGTAGTCCTTATTTCGTTTGCCATAGTCGTCATCAAAAGTGGGGTCCCTCATCCGATGCTGTTGTTGCGTTGTCATTGGGGTGGTTTTTTTTACGTGGCGGGTCCCAAACCCAGCGCACAACCCTATGCAGGGAATGTTTCGCCTTCTCACTTTAGCTCACCTTCAAACGGATGTTCTTAGACTACCCAGAGGATACTTGGTCAAATACCGGAAGTCGTGAGCTGCTTGAGTCATATGTAAAAGAATCGTTTCTGGCCACTCCCAAGTGAATGACGATCAGAAAACTTTCCTCACTTGCGTGAACTTCTACACGTGGGCAAATTTTTCTACTTGGATAAATAAAGAATTTTTTATGTACTTTATTCACTTCATTTTTTACAGTTTATTAAAGCTATCGTAATATATATTTTGAACTTACTTTCTTCTCGTACTCCTTGGGGTTGTGGACACTGAATGCTTTCGTATTCGGTGCGTCCGAAACTCGCGCTATACACCGCGATTCGTGAGTAAGGATTGCACTCCAATTGAGCCAGATCATTGTGACAGGCCACTTTACTACGAAATTCATCTGCACAATAGAGAGGAAAAACAAACAAAGGTGTATTATCTGCCATATCAATCTAAAACGTTCAATATATACATACTAGGGTGATTCAAACAAAAAAAAATTTTTTTTTCGTTTGGTACTATGAAAAATAGSTTCCTAGACACCTCTAAGGAAGTCTTTCCAAGAATGAGTTCTTAATAGCATCGGGAAAGTCCTCCTACTTACATTTTTCTATTTTTTCTTATTATCAGATAGAAAAATTTATATCTCGCTTCCAACCACTTCAAAAAATATTTTATTCCTTAGGTTTTGTAGGAAATTGCATGCTCTACAAAAAAGTTTTCATACGGTTTTTTCGTAAATCCAAACATTTAAAAGATATTAAAGGTTGTAGTTTGATTATTTTTGGGAATTTTTTTTTCTTATGAATTTTATAACTAAATGAAAAAAAATCATTATGAATGAAGCTCATAGGTTTTTGGAGAGGTTTTCTTAGAGAGGCACCTATTTTTCAGAGTACCAAACGAAAAAAAAATTTTTTTTGATCCACCCTAAAATGCATTGATGTTTGCCGACGAATATCTCGTAAACGATTAACTTAATCGAAAAATCATAACAGGTCATTTTTATAGAACAGTAAACTATGAGTTTCATCATGCATAATGATTTTTTTTTTCATTGAGTTATAAAATTCATAAGAAATAAAAAATGTTCCCAAAAATAATCAAACTTCAACCGTTAATATCTTTAACACGGTTGGATTTACGAAAAAATCCCGAGATCTTTTTTGTAGAGCATGCAATTTCCTACAAAACCTAAGGAACAAAATATTTTTTGAAGTGGTTGGAAGCGAGATATAAATTTTTCTATCTGATAATAAGAAAAAAATAGAAAACTGTAAGTAGGAGGACTTTCCCGATGCAATTAAGAACTCATTCTTGAAAAGGCTTCCTCAGAGGTGTCTAGGAACCTATTTTTCAGAGTACCAAACGAAAAAAAAAAATTTTTTTTAATCATATGGTGCATTGCATGAAAAACTTACATGGACGACATTTATAAGCCACCTCCACAATTTTACGTCGTTTGTGACAAGGATCTACATTTACGGTGTTAACCGTGTTGTTATAGTTATTTACATCAACGCCTGTGCTCAGTCTATAGAAATGTGGGGCGCCGTTAAATTTGCAGTGCTTCTTTTTTTGGCAAGCCTCAACGACTGTCTGAAGAAGCGAATACTAAAAAATTAAATATGAACTAATTTACATATCAATGTTGTCTATATTTTGCATTATCTGTCAATTAATATTTCAACAAGAAAAAACGTTAACATCAGTTGCATCGAAGCTATAATGCCTTTCACAAGTGCATTTCTCATAGCGAAAAGTGGTATAAGAAAATTATTGATTTTGATCGGTCAGTTTTAATGACAGTTAAATACTGTATAAGTAGTGGTTAAATTTCAACAATTTCTTCAGAAAGGCTATATATTTTAGTGTACCGTTGCTTCGCTAAAAACAGAAGTTCCGATACACTATTGATTAACATAAGTGAGTTTTTATGACGGATATTAGCTATATGTTCTGCGTACATAGAACACCAAAAATGTCAAACTTCACGATAAAGTTGTGAGTTGCCAGATCGCATTACCAGGGTTGCCATCCGAAATATAAAAGGCAACCTACTTACTTGGTTCACAACACTTACTAAAATATTTACATTTATATAAGTAATGAGCTGAACAACTTTTGACCTTTGTTAGATTGTGTTTCGAATATAAAAATGTCTATCCTTGTTATAAAGTAGTAACCTTAACTAGAATGCTAGTCTCGTATTAGTCTCAAAGCAGTTATTTTTGTTTACAATGATTTTCGTGTTTTCGGGTTAAAACATTGGTTTTTTTTTATGCAAAGTAAGCACAATATATGCAGCAACACCAGAAAACATCACAAAATTGTTTTAACATCCATAAAAAAAAGTTTGTTGACTTTGGCACTGAATAAACGCGAAAAGAAAGTGAAAGTGACTCACAAGAAATGGATTTGTCGGCGATAATTAAAGCACTCATATTTTTAGTATAAATGGTGTAAATGATGCTTGACGAATAATTACCTGAAGTGCGTTTGGCCACATACAATTTTCGGAGGAGTCATCGTCCCTTATATAAACATTCGAGGTATTTTCCTTACGCACACCGGCATCTTCCGTTTCTTCTGTCATGAGTGTATCTGGTAGCAGGCTTGAGCTTGGAAGTTCCGTAGTCTGGCCATAAAGGTGTTGGATGTTTGGAATTTTTGCTCCGGGAGTTCCGAATGTGGAACCACGTAGAAGGTGTTTGGCCTTCGATTGCACATTTTTCGTGGAATTGTTTAGCGGACATAAGTCATCGATGCTGAAACCATCTATAAAAGGAAGCAATTAAAATTAGAATTTTATGGAAAATTCAGGCTTCATCTAAAAACTCGTTAAATAAGAAAAAAATTCTCCATTAACACGATAAATAGGATGGTGATATAAATTTTTATAAACACCAATAATTTATACTATCGAAAATTTCAAGGATCAAAATTTGGGGAAATACCCTGAGGAGTAGGTAAAACATTGTTCGGAAAAAAATAACAAATAAACAGGTTTTTGATATAATGGGGAAAGTGTCAATTGTTATGGCTATATGTAGAGATGCCTTGGATAATAATTTATGCTAAATTTCGAGAAAATAGTGTGTCAAATTAAAAAGATCTCCATAAATTGGCTTAAGTTTGATAGGTCAGTTTGTATGGCAGTTAAATTATTTAGTTATCTAATTTCATCAGTTCCGACACATAAGTGGTTTCTTGGTGAGAAAGGAACGTGTGTAAAATTTTAGATCGGTATCTCAAAAATGGAGGGCCTAGTTTGCATATATAGAGACAGAATGACAGACGGACATGGCTAAATCGACTCAGTTCATCGCACTGATTATATACTATACATGTATATATATGTACGTAATTTACATAGTCTCCTTTGTTTCCATTTGGATGTTAAAAACCGAATATACCTTGTTACCGGTGTTTTTGGGGTTTCATTAAGACAACTAATGAGTGATTTACATAGTATACGGTCAACAGACTTGTTTTAAGTTCCTTTACTTTTTATCTGCTTATTAAAATTCAATTAAGAAATGAAAACCACGGCAGCTCAAGGTTGGGTTGAGCTCACTTTGGTAGGACAAGTACGTTGCTCTTTGGAAGGCTCTTAGTAAAACATTATAACAAATTTGAATGTTCCCGGAATTTAAGCTCTTATCTCTTTCTGTTGTCGCCTTCCTATATTTTAAACATAGGAATCCCAAGCTATTTGTGAATATTTTTTTTTACGAATGTACCATGGTAAAGCCGTTATTGTTCAAAGAATTTTTAACTGGAATCTCCATAGTATGTTAATACATGCACAGGTTAAATACCACACGTTTCAATCGTCTTCATTACTGCATTATGTATCATAACTTTGTTGGCAATATTTCTTAAAGAAAACACCAGTGTTTTATAGAAATCAAAAGGTAATATTTATTTAATTTATATTTATTTACTTTCCAAAAATTTTGGAAAGACAAGATAGGAAGTTTGTTGATTTGTTAGAAGATTATGTTATTTCCTTTCAGGGATGTAGCTATCAGATTTGGAGTAATATTATCATGTCCTGACTTTTTTTGCTTCTGTTTTGATCAATATCCCCTTCCCAGTTTACTATGTAATCAATATTAATGTGGCTCCTGAAATATTTTTTATGCGATGTTAGACCCACTTTAGTGATACAACCTAGCTTTGTTCGCATATATTTATTTATACAGCATAAGTCATTAGATGTGCCACCACTTATAAGTGATATATCTACATTTTTGATTACAGCAAAATCAATTAAACCTGGTATTTCGTTACGATTCCTCGGCGAATGTGTCGGCTTAGCCCTAGTGTATTATATATATTTTGCATTGTAATCAGCACCCGCTAGAAATCTGGGTTCTAGGGTGCTAAAAAAGTATATATAATTTTTAAGACGATGTAGGTTGTGTGCAGCTGTCAGATTTGAGTCACTATTTATGCAAACATAATGCTGTTATTAGGGCCACGCCCACCTTTTAAAAATGCTCCTTTCCCCTGCGATTCTAAGCTTGGTTGATTTAGTTTAAGTAGTTTCGGAGATATGTACATTTTAATCTATTAGGCGATATCACCACGCCCACTTTTTCAAAGGGTCTCAATACACAGTGATCCCTCCTTAACGCGACAAGTTGCACTAATTAACAGTCTCGTATCGTATTGTGAAACTTAGTTACAGCAATTTATACGTTTTCTATTAATTGAGTTGAGGAGCAATCCTCCAGTTTCCCATCTATAATACCAATAATTTCAACGTCCCAAGCAGCATGTGTGGGAAGTTTCATCAAATTTTCTTAATTCTTACTCTTGCAGACAGATAGACGGATAGAAAGGCAGACATTCAGTTTCCAACGTATTTCATCAACCTGATAACTCATAACATATGTGTATGTACATATACATAACCCTATATCTAACTAGATTAGTTTTAGGTGATATAAACAACTTTTAACAACACATTGCGAGAGTAAGAAAATTAATAAGGGTTCAATGCGGAAAAAATTGTTTAATTTAAAAGAATGAGTCATTCTTTTTGGGCAACCATGGCAAAAATGTACTTTAACTAGAGCAATCTGGACTTCAGAACTTCTTTTCAAAGTTATAAATTAATGAATACACACATACACATACTCGTACAATTGTTAAAAATGGTGCGGCACCTACCTTTGTTTTCGAAATTGTTGAACTGTGCGAACTCGATTGAGATGCTTGTGCCGCGTGGACAAGAGATAATGACCTGATCGCTGTCACAAGCAGCTTTTTGATAAGTGCGCAGGGTTGCTGATAAGAGGGCTACTCGGTGATTATAAGATATGCGTATTGAAGAATCGTTCAGCCACAGTAAAACAATTTTCAAAGAAACCCATATATGTGTGATGTTGAGTATTACAGCCAATCCATCCATCGAAATCCAGTATTGTTCAGTGGCGACACGTGGAGATGTTACATTCAAATTTGAAAAAAAAATAGAGATCACTTTTTGTGTATGAAAGATAAAATTCTTATAAATAAACACATGTTAGATCATTAAAAATGGAGTGAGAACCATATACCATATTAATCAGTTATATAGTATATATTATACATTGCAGATTTTAGATTCTAGAAGTTCCTGGATGAAATCCAACTATTAATAATTATTATTTAATTAATAATATTAAAACAAAAATTTAAAATTAGAAATTGCAGAATTTAGTACAGTCCGAAAAAATAGTATATACCAATAATAAAATATCTAAAATATCATTTGTGTGTTTAGTTGACTTAAACAATTTGATGCCATGAATCAGTTACTTGTGAAATTCGTTATCAGTRGCCATCTTATTTAAGGCCCATTAACCGAACATGCGACGTTTGATGTCCGTTCGGCAATTCTTGCATGAGTTGGATTTGTAGGCCCAATTGTTACTCGTGATGAGAACGCGAAATATCCACTGGGATTAGCATGGTGCGAAACTAATCCATGGTTATTCGAATTATCGACTCTACGTTTCGCGAACCGAACTATTATTTTGGTAATAAATTTTAACGATTTGCAAAAATGTACCGGAGTAAGTCTGTTGATTACGAAATGCCAAACCGAACTATGTATAATTCAGGTAACATCTGTCAAAAGACCAACATAAACAAGTAAGGAAGGGCTAAGTTCGGCTGTCACCGAACATTTTCTACTCTCGACGATACACGAAAAATCTATACCCATAGGGATCCATACGTCTAAAAAACACTCGTTCTATGGTGCTAGGGAAGTTAGGTTCCGATTTTTTATACTCTCGCAACAAAGTTGCTAAAGAGAGTATTATGGTTTTGTTCACATAACGGTTGTTTGTAAGTCCTAAAACTAAAAAAGTCAGATATAGGGTTATATATACCAAAGTGATCAGGGTGACGAGTAGAGTTGAAATCCGRATGTCTGTCTATCCGTCCGTCCGTCTGTCCGTCCGTCCGTGCAAGCTGTAACTTGAGTAAAAATTGAGATATAATGATGAAACTTGGTACACGTATTTCCTGGCTTCATAAGAAGGTTAAGTTCGAAGATGGGCAAAATCTGCACACCGCCACGCCTAGAAAATGGCGAAAACCGAAAACCTATAAAGTGTCATAACTAAGCCATAAATAAAGATATTAAAGTGAAATTTGGCACAAAAGATCGCATTAGGGAGGGGCATATTTGGACGTAATTTTTTTTGGCAAAGTGGGCGTGGCCCCGCCCCCTACTAAGTTTTTTGTACATATCTCGAAAAGTACTATAGCTATGTCAACCAARCTCCACAGAGTTTTTTCATTCAGACATTTCCATATACAGTTCAAAAATTAAAGAAATCGGATAATAACCACGYCCACCTCCCATACAAAGGTTATGTTGAAAATCACTAAAAGTGCGTTAACCGACTAACAAAAAAGTCAGAAACACTAAATTCAAATATCAGAAGGAAGTTGCATCCAGGCTTTTTGTTAAATTGAAAATGGGCGTGGCGTCGCCTACTTATGGACCAAAAACCATATCTCAGGAACTACTCCACCGATTTCAATGAAATTCTGTACATAATAGTTTCTGAACACCATGATGACATGTACAATAATATACATGGGTTAAATCGGTTCACAACCACGCCCTCTTCCAATATAACGCTATTTTGAATTCCATCTGATGCCTTCTCTCTATAATATATCCATTAGGAACCAATGATGATAGCGGAATAAAACAAATACACAATATAAAATGTTCAGTGACACCCGAACTTAGCCCTACCTTACTTGTTTTTTATACAATTTTGTTGACAATCATCAAACGCATCTACACCTCTAATGGGGCTAACAATTATGACGCCAGCGACATCCAAGCTTTTTCGTTCATACGGAAATAGCGAAAAGTCCCGTTTCACTGAAAATTTTCGGATTTCAACTGGCTATTTCAATTTAACATAAGAGGAAGTGAACTTGATTTACTTAAATAATGTTATACATATTAAAATAAAGTAAGTGAAAGAATTTCTAGTGTTGTATTTGTGTTCTGTTTTGCGTTGTTTTCTTACTTTTTTGTTTACTTTTCTAAAGGATGACAGATCAGTTGAARAGTAAATTTGCATTGGAAAACGGGGTTACGAAAACAAACCAAAAACAAGAAAAAACGTTAACTTCAGTTGCACCGAAGCTAAATACCCTTCACAGGTGCATTTCTGTTAGTAATTATGTGTTCAGTTTGTATGGCAGCTATATGCTATAGTAATCCGATCTGAAAATTTTTTTCGGAGATTATATTATATTATTACCCTAAGTAATCCATGTCAAATTCGGTGAAGATACCACGTCAAATGTGAAAGTTTTCTATACATGAACTTCATTCCGATCGATCAGTTTGTATGGCAGCTATATGCTATAGTAATCCGATCTGAAAATTTTTTTCGGAGATTATATTATATTATTACCCTAAGTAATCCATGTCAAATTCGGTGAAGATACCACGTCAAATGTGAAAGTTTTCTATACATGAACTTCATTCCGATCGATCAGTTTGTATGGCAGCTATATGCTATAGTTAACCGATTTGAACAATTTCTTCAGAGATTATATTTTTGCTTTAGAAAATAACCTGTGTCAACTTTAATGGAAATACATTGTCGGCAGTTCCGACAAATGAGCAGCTTCTTGAAGCGAAAATGACGTTTGCATGGCTAAATCGACTCAGCTCGACATACTGATCATTTATATATATATATACTTTATAGGGTCTCCGACCCTTCCTACTGGGTGTTACAAATTTCGTGACTAACTTAATATACCCTGTTCAGGGTTTAACAAGAATACTACAGGATCTCATTCAGCTAAATTTGTCCAACCCAATTACTTTCGAAGTAAAAAACGCGGCAACCAAAAAAGGTCGGATGGCCACCCGCCAGCTTTTTGGAGCATGAATGAGCCAAAACAAAACTCTTGTTTGTACATGAATAACAACAGTTAAATTCCTCAGAGTCTTTGAACGTATTTAAAACAATTTTTTATAATCATTTTGACATTAAATTCCATTTGTCTAAAACAAAATTACCAAAGTACAGACTGTGATAGTTCTTAAAAAATTGCAGACCCATCTAAAAGATAAAGATCAATTAAAAAATATATATTTTTAAATAATCAAAAAAGGAAAAGAAAATTATTGTTTTTATATGACAGTTTCGATTTTCGAAAGGCAAAAATATTACGTTATTTTATTCTAGTAAGTATCCATATTATAATTTAAGTGTTTATGAAAATGGAATAAGAAATGGCAATTGTTTCTTATTGGTAGAAAAAGATGACGAACGCGGATGTAATGAAATATGCAAAACTATTTATAAATATCTTTTGATTTTGGACGAAAGAAAAAATCCCAATAAAGTCGTTATAATAAATAAGCTACATTCACTAAAACGGTAAAGATAACATACGTGTTGCCCATGATGTCTGCTGATTCTGTCTGTACATAGCACCATCGAATCATTTACTCGAAATCGAATAGTCGGGGCTTATAATGAATTCACCTACAATTCTAAGTCTTCCTTAATTGGAAATTACTGGCAAATATACTGACGCCTAAGTGCAAAATGCTTAAATTAAGCTTACTTGGATTAGCAACATCTAAAAAAAAAGTGACTTTTTTAAATATATTAAAAATATTATTTTTTTAAATACAGTTATCTAGATGAAGTAAGTGAAAAATGGTTCACTATTGAATTAGACTAAACCACTTTGCATATATATTTGAGAGATTTAAAAATATCATGATATTCAGTTGCACTGAAACTAGTCAATGTTGATTGATTGATTTAAACTATAAAAAAAATTCTGTAAACTTTGATTTTTGGCTTCTACGCGAGATTATAAAAATATAAAAGATCTTTCCGTTGCCYTAGAATTCTTTCGTATTGGGAAGAAACTCGAAACTAGGTGTATAGGATCGAAAGCACTTCTAATCAACATATAAACGTAATATAGTATATATGTAGTAGCTTCTTACAGGTTTTGTCCGGTAAGTAATAGGACTGAGTCGATTTAAAAAAATTAGTGAACCAATGGTGACAATTCTACAAAAACATTCGGAATTTCCGCATGCAGCGCTGCCACCACGACTTCGAAGCATTGAAGAGGTTACGGAAGGCATTCTTCGGATTAGAATAGAGAGCCGAGGTGCATGCTGCTTGGATCCCCTCTGTCGGGGCGGATGCGGAAGCATCGGGATACCGTCCTTGGTTAAGTAGCTGTTCAATAGAGAGGCGGTGTGAGCCGGAATGTTATCGTGGTGCAACTTCCAATCGGCTGCGATGCCTTGTCGGACCCGATTGACCAATCGTTTGAGTCCCTTGACGGCTTCCACTTGGCGTTCATGGTTTGTCCAGGAGGAACAAATTCGTTGTGGACGATGCTTTTGATGTTAAAAAAGAAAATGAGCATCGTTTTAACTTTGGATTTGCATTCATCAATTCATCATTTACTGAATTTCAGATAGACACATTTCACATTTAATCGCGCAACTCTGCTCTAACGAACGCTACATTTTCGGCTTGCACCACTCACAGAAACACGTCGCGCGAAAATGTTTCTCCTCACTCTACAGGTGCTCGGAGACGACGCCCTCTATCGAATTCAGTCGGTGCGCGCACGCTCCGAAGTACAAGCGCGGCGGAAGAAAATTAGTCGTATTACTTTCCGGACAAGCCCTGTATCTACTCGGATACCTACGAAGTTAAATACAGTAGCACAATCGTGCTTTCACAGACACTTGTCGCCATAGATAACTTGATACTAGACTCTTTGGT